TAATCCCTGAACTAAATTATTATTTTTTCTCAAAGATATCTTTGAACTTCCAGTTGTTTCCATAGCCACTCTAGAACATTTGTACAGCTTTTTCCATCCTGCCCCATCAGCTTACATGATACTAGAAAGGCCATCTCAAAAGAAGAACAAGGGAATTCTGCCTTCATGGTTTGAATGTTTCTTGCTATATCTCCTAAGACTGCAGTAAAATCACTGGTTACTGACAGCTGAAAGGCCAGTGGCCTTTTTGACCTCAAAAACAAGCTGAAAAACCATCAAGAGGTTTCAACTGGTGATCACTCAGCCTGTAAGCAAGGCTCATATCAAACTGAAATTCTTTCTGGTCATTAGATACTTGAAAAGTTGTCAATTTATGTCCAGTCTTCTTCAGCAGAATTCCCACAGTTTCTGTATACATAACCATTCTAACTTACCTTGCAGAAGAAATGCTACTGCAGTTATTGATCTCAAAATGCACATCATGGTCTTTCCTTGTTTCTTTGGACTGTTTTCCATCAACTCCATTTTATACCATATGAGAGTAGTTTGTAACCAAAATTGCAATCTAAATAAACTGAATATAGAGTTCAATGGTGCCAAAGTCCAGGGTGATTAGATCTTGGGCTTTGATCCAGATGCATCTTGCTGGTAAGTAAAGAAAAGAGAATATATCAATCAGCTAGTTACAACAAGTCCTTGGCCTGTATATGGAAGCAGAAGATGAGGAGGAGGAAAAAAGGATATACCATTTGATAATTGGTAGGTGACAGCATGCTGTGTGTGCAGCCTGGGGAAACAGAGACCCATTCAATCCGCCTCACAACAGACTCAGTAACTTCACTGGCCCACGCACTCTTCCGTCTCAAGCACCCAACATGTTTCATAGCCTCCAGTCATCAGCCTTGGCGCCAACAGATGAATCATATCTCCTGTGAGTGTCCCTGCTGCAGTAACTTCTTACATCCTCTGCAGTTAGATAGCACTTGCCAATCCCAGATCTCAAAACACTGCATTAATGCGGATGGGATTAAATATCTTGCATGTAGCCATGGGAAATCAACCAGCATTAAGATTAGAGACCATACCTCCTCACTCTCCTTAAGTTTTCTGACCCCTAGGTCACACCACCTTCCTTCATTATGTGTGTTTAACAGTCAATGGTAAGCACTTGTGATAGGCAGAAGAGTTTTTCCACATTCCAGAAAGGCAGCAGATAATTAACAGGCACATTTATTTTTAGATTTATGTTAAGAGTCAGATAGTAGCAGTTCTCTAGCACTTGGTTAGCCAAGTGATTTCTATTTTCTAGGTTAGTACTCTATAACAGACTACCATTCTGGATTTGACCAAGCAGAGGGATATAATCATGGGAGCAATGGTTTCCACCATCTGGTACAGACCTTGTATATCAAGGTCATTGGTATCTCAAGCCATCAGGGATGCCCCTCTTGATTCAGATCAGTCATTCATAAAAACCTTATTGCCTACTGCCCAGAAGCCTGCTAAATTGGGCCATCTTTAGCCTAGCTCTGGAATAAGATAACCAGCAGCATCCATACCCTACCTAAGGGAAAGGGAGGGACAGCACAGCACAGCAGGGCACAGTCCCCACAGTACTTGAATGAAGTAAGGCTAAAATACTTAGAAATACCCAGATGCAACCAGGAATCCAGATCATAAAATACATTCATGATGATGAAGAAGCAGGTCTAGGGTCAAGCCAGGAAAATAATCCACAGCTGAGAGTCAGAATTAGGTAGGATAAAGATTACTACCATCAGGCCCAATCCTTCCATTACTAGCTAGATCCACAGCAACAAGGAAAATGTAAGGTCAAGCTGAGAATTTGATCTATAGATCACAATCCAAACTCATGCATCACTGCAGTTGCACTGAAAAACAATACTCCTACAAGACAGCTGAGACTAGATGTGAAGCCCAAGCCTGGGCTTAAATGGAGATCCTGGACCTATGGGCAGAGGGTGTGGGTGGTGGCCATGTGGGGTGTGTTAAGGCTATTAATGTACTTCAGGGCCACAACACAAGTTTCTGTAGCCTTTGTAGAGTGTGCTTAGGTGCAAGAACATCACTGCTGCTTGTTGTGACTCTGCTGTAACTCTTTCTGCACCTCTATTCCAGAATATTTCTGGTATCATAACCCTAGGCTTCAATAGCAAGGACACAGATGAGTTGTGGTCTGCAGCAGCAGGTAGGTATTATTAAGAATTGCTGGTGTAAGGACTCAGTGTGAGGGTCAGTATACAACTTCAGAAACTCTTAAACTGCAGAACGTGCCTAGATGCCTCTTCTGGCATTCCTGACTGGATTCTCTAATCAGGGTATTTCAAACTCTCCTCAAGGATAACTTTTCTGGGTGAGAGCAGAGAACTGGTGTCACAGAACTGTAACTATTTTTTCAGTTCTACCACTCCTGTAGTCACCACAGACTACTCAGAGCTCTGTTACCTTTTACATGGGGGCTTTTTATATAGAAGGGTATATATTCAAAACACCTCTTTGCAGGTTGATGGTTTGACTTCATGATCTTGGAGGTTGTATTCAACCTTAACAATGATTTTATGATTTTATGTGTATTGAAGGGGCAGGTGACAGTGGCGTGGGACAGATGCATGTAAAGAATTGACTTGGGCTACAAATAAGTTGCAGTCCCAGCCCTGTTCCATGGGTAGGGCCCCTGTGGGATGTGATTCTGTGGTGTTGATACAGCTGAGGAACTCGCCCCCTGAAAAACTACCTGTGGGATGGAAAGGGGTTGTGAAACTCACAGGAGAATTAAGGTAAATACAAACTATTGAGATATCTTGTCCCAATTATCCTGCTCAGTTTAAGCAGTTCAGTACACAAGCTTCAGGAATTAAATATTCCCATAAGTCTGGCTCCTTCTAGACATTTGTTAGGCTACCTTTCTACTGGATCTACTTTCAGTGTTTCTTTCAGGAAGTATTTATTTAAATTGTCAGACCAAAGCATTGCAGCCAGTATGGAACCACTTGCTTTTTTTTTATCTCTCAGCTGGTTTGGTTTGGGTTTCTTCTCTAACAAACAATTTACTTTCCCCAAATAGCGTATTTGAGAAATTCAGATGTGAACTTCAAACCAATGCTCAAACTGGGGGGAAAATTCAGAAATTTCCAAGTCTTAAAAAAAATCATTCACATTACATTTATCCTTTGAAAATTGCTTTTAAAAGGCTGAAAATATTTAAGTCAAAGCAAAACATTTTTAACAGGATCAAACTGAATATTTCTGTTTACATTGAGAATTTTTTATTTTAAAAAAACCTTAAAAGTTAGAATTTAGTGTTGAACTTGGCTGTTATTTGTTTGAATGTTTTCATTTTACCCAATTATTTATACAGGTCACGTTACATAATGTCTTTTCCCTGAAGGGAAATCAAGTTTTCGTGGGAAGTGACTTTGCAGGATGAAGTGTTCCATGCTTCCCATGAGGTTAAAAGTTCATTTAATTTTATTCCTTGTCACGTTTACTGTACACACCTTTTGACTTCCTGTTCAAATTGCAAAATGATGCATATAAACAGCATCAAAGCACATAAGAAATGCTAAAAATACAGAGAAAGACTTCAATTAAATAGTTGGTAGGAATGACTTTTTTATCCAGGGTTTGAGGTTGGGTAGAAAGGCAAAAATGTAACTTCCTTCTGCTGATGCTGTTGCTGGTTATCCACAGTATCAGGATGCTTTCTAAGTTTGTTGGCCAAGGGATTATCAGTTAGCTAGTCTTCACTGTGCTGAAACCCAGCTAATACAGATGATTAGTGGGAAAATAACTGCAAGAGCCTGTGTATTTGAAACAGAGACAGTGGTTCGGATCCCACTTCTATCCTCACAAGTGTGTAAATCTGAGTTCATGACACCATGAACTCAAAGATTTACACTTATAAGCAGCTGGTTCCACTGGCAGCTAAAGGTCCAAAATATCTTAGCCATTGCTGTAGTCTGCACATTGAGAAGTACAACCTCTAACAAGAGCCAGAAAACCTCTTCCAGTATTGAAGATACAACTTCGTGGCCAGTATTCAGTATCCAGAATATGACAGATCATGGCAGAGGAGAAAGCTGCCAATCTCAGATGCCTTTTTTCAGTATACCTCAGCAATACAAACCTGCAGGATGATACTGCAGGGCATGTACATTGCTAGGGGAACATTTACTCCCTTTTTGACACTTGCAGAAGGACCTGCTCAGCAGATGGGGATGGAGAGGAAGGAGGTTGAGCAAAGAGGAGCCCAGGGTCAGGATGTGCCCATTACTCATATGCAATTATCGTGCAATTATCTATCTATATTTTATAGATACTGTTGAATAGTATCTACCTATTTCAACAAATGTTTGTCCTTTCCTCCCCCCCATTACTGACTTCTGGCTTTGCCTCCCCTCCGGGGGGCTAAGAGTGAGCTTAGCAAGCAGTACAAATGAAAATGATGGGTGCTAAAATGTAATCCTATCCTGCCAGGCTGTCGGTGCAGGCAAGAGATATTTTTCCGTCTCGCAAAGAGCAGTAGGTCGTTTCTCCCTCAGCTCACCGGAATGCCTCCCCGCGAGGGATGCAGTGCGCAGCAGGCGGCCCAGCACGCCGCTGCCCTCAGGACCAGCGCACTTGCTATTTCTTATAATGCAGAAGAAATCACGACGAGTCAGGTTCAGCTCCTGAACTGATCCTTGTCGAGTCAAAGCATCTGTTGAGCGCTACCGGAGGAAGATGCAGACCAGGAGCGGGGATCCGCTCCGCTCCTTGGAAGCGGCACATTGATCATTGGCCGCGTGGCCAATTAGCGGCAGGAGCCAGGTCCAGCCCTCGTGTCTGCGCTCTGGTGATCTATCGCCAATAATTACCGACGCACTTAATGCCTAGTTTGGATGGGAATTAATTGGAGGCCGGATAAATAATGCATTAGGGTTTATTCAGCCCCATGTGAAGCGTCTCCCCCGAGCCAGAGCTGGAAGCGGCGAGAAGCGGCGTCTGAGCGGCGGTGGCGGCGATGCGCGGGGCGGCGGCCGGGGCCGGGTGCTGATGCTGCGAGCAGCGCCCAGCCGGGAGCATGCTGAGCCCCAAGATCAGGCAGGCCAGGAGAGGTGAGTGTGCCTACCCCTGCGCCTCGCGTTGTGGGGAGGGAGACCATCTGCCGGCACCGGGAAACTTCGCGGCGGTGGCGGAGAGACCCCAGCGCTGCCCGCGGAGCGTCCTCCACCTGGGCTGCAGGGGCTGCCCGGAGAGCAAGGCTGATACCCCGCTGGCCGAAGCCAGCCCTGGGGAGTGCAGCGGGAATGAATGTTCGGGGAGAATGAACCGCAGGAGGAGATCCTGTGCTGGTGTTCACCAGCATGGTCTGCAATTTCAGGGCTGATCAGCAGTGACAATTAAAAAAATAGTACTCTGTCCTGGGACTCGACTGAGCCTTTTCACCCCCGTGCTGGTTGCTAATGCTGTGTTTCTAACGCTGAATTCATTATAACAGTTGGAGACAGTTGTGACAAGTTTACCTGCAGCATCTTGGAGAAGCAGTTTGCTGTAGCACGTTATCCTTCCAGGGCTGGAAGCAGGAGGTGGAGATACTCGTTCTGTGTGAGCTTGTGGGCAAGACAAAAGGGAGGAAGGAAAACATGCCCTGGGTTTGCAATAGCTGCTTTGAGCAGACCTATGAATGTTGTGTGCAGTGTTTGTAAAGCAATTAGCTGGGGCTGGGCACAGCCATTGTCTCCAAGTCAGGTCACCTGCAAGAGATGCTCTGGCAGGGGATGTATTGTGTGATCTTCACCAGTTGCTCGTTTGACATGGCGTTTGTTGATCATTGCTGCCACTCTCAAACTAATGAGAGTCTCAGAGGGATACATTTTCCTGCACATTGGAAGCAGATTTGACTAATGTCATTTAGGAGCTAAAACAAGCACAGTCAGAAGAGTATGCAAAGATTAGGATATTCTTCAGCCATGCCACCATTATAAAATAGGAAAAGCGTCACTGCTTCTAGCTACTGTGATTCTGAGACGGGTACTTTCAGCCAAATGTCACTTGGCTTCATATATATGAAAGCAGTATTACACGATGAACAGTCCTTAAAATACCAACAGCCCATTAAACAGCTGTTAGCATCTTGGAAGGAAGAAGCTTCTTGCCATCTGCAGGTGTCAGGATCGGATATGTACTACCACACCCTCAGTAAAGTCATAAGTACTTATTTCTTAGTTACAGAATTTTGTAGAAGTTCATTAAGTCTTCTGTAGATGCTGCCTCTTTGCCATCTTCCTTCTAAGGGGTGTCTAATCTCCTTTTAATACATGTGTTATCCAGCATTCCTGTTTGCTATTATAGCTCTGATGAGACAAGCTAGATGTCGCTTGTAGAGTGGTAAAGGAATTCTGTATCAGAGCAAGGAACACAGGCTTTCAGAACAGCATGCTTGCCATTCTTCCACTCTCTTCAAATCATCTGGAAGAGACTTAAGTTGAGCATTAACAAATATTGAAGTCTAGTTATGGGATTGTAGATACCTATGGGCTACTGATGCTTGGGGGACAAACTGTAGTGTAACTTTGTGACTCAATTTATAGGAGTATATGTCATTCTCTCTGGGTTTGTTCTGTTGGGTTCGTTAACTGTGATGAATTTAGAACTTGTGAAAAGAGCTGACATGATGGGTTTTGAAACTTTGAAACTTTTGAAACTACTTTTGCAATGCTGTGGCAAAGCGCTGGTATCCTCTGGCAAAGGTTACCAAGTAGGACCTAATCCTGAAAGGTTCTTCTATAGCTCTTGCTCACAGGAACTGTAATCAGGTGGTGCTGAAGATGCTGAATGCTTCTTGAAGGTAAGAGTCCCACCCTGCAAGTCTAAGGTGAATGTGAAATGGTAGTTCATGCTCCCTGGTGTCTCAGTTGGGATTGCTAATGAAGGTTCAGGTAATAAACGGTGGATAAGCAAAATATTCAGAAGACTGCAAGAATATACTGTGTACAGTGAGGGCAGGAGATCTGCTGCAAGCTGCTGCATGAGCTTGGCTGACTTCTGAGTAGTGACTGTCAGCTCTGCCATTGAGGACTTAGTTGTGTAAGGGAGGCAGTGTGAGTTCTCTTAGCAGACAGAATGAAGAGAAGGGAAAAGGAAGGATACTCTGGGTACAAGCCTGTGAATGCACTTGAGTGTGACAGGAAGCAGCAGTTAAGCTGAACCTAGGGATGGATTTGTAGAGTCCTTGAGGTTCAAACCCCTCTGTGTGGCTAGATAACTCTGCTTCAGGCTGCAAATAGGAATGCTTCACTGACATCTCTTTTATTTCCAGTTCTCTGCTACAAATGTACCTTTAAACCTTCAATTGTGACATCTGATGCTGTCATTTTTGTTTGACTTGTGGATTGTTCTTAAAAAAGCTCTTGGGTTTAAAGACATTCAGCCTTTTGAAAATGCTGAGTCTGAACTTGAGCTTGACATCCAGTGTGTAGTTCTTAATATCTGTGAAAGGTATGGTAGAGAACAAAGATAATTTGCCTTACTAAAAGTAAATGTCAAGTATAACACAGTCCTTGCTGTTCCATCAGCAACCTCACATCCGTAACTCAGAAATATGCATATAGAGGTACATTGTGTTTTCATAAGACCTAGGAAGGTGTAAAATCTCACAGATTGCAAATCTTAATGTGTATAAATTGTCCTCTGGAAAATCATTCAACGTGGGTAGACCTGAATGGATTTTGCATTATTTTTTCATCTAGTGGTTTATGTACAGCAACTGGAGGAGTACAGGAGCCTGAAATAAGTGACTGCAATGGAAAATATCTATTTTCACATTCTTATTAGGTGATGGAGCATAGAAATACTGCCTTGCAGAGTGGAAGCAAGAAAACTTTCAGTATGGAGAGGAGGGAGAGCAGTTTTCAGACTACATCCTTCAGTCTCAAGGAATGCATTTTTGTTTCATTGTTTTTAAGAGATTAAAAAAATGAAACAAAGCATTTTTTCCTTGGTTTGAAAAGTGTCAAACAGGGTATACCTTCCCAGTTGTATTTAAATGTGCTAGGAAATGGAAGCTGGACTGAGTAGAAGTTTACGCATTTGTATTTTAATGAGTGATGTGATGGAATTGCCCTCTATAGAAAGCAAGTCTGCTGGCATGATAGATTCTTTACAATAGTCTTGTCTTCAGGACAGTCTGTCTCAGCTGTAGAGGTACTAAGGATAAACCTTCTCTCCTTACTGGGACTTTATATGACTGGGTACCAGTGACCTATTATTTCTGTTTGTGGTATGCTCATACATATATTACAGTATGTTGAAAATTTTCTTCACAGTCATAAGAATTAAACTTTTGTTTGACTGTTTTAATTAAAGTGTAGAGCCTGGAAAAAGCGATAGGAGACATTTTGGCTAGTTAGCCTGCTGCAAATGAGCTGGTAATCTTCACATGCCTGTAGTAGAACAGAGGTATTTCCCTCTCTCTTTTTTCCTCCTCTGAAACTTTTCATAATTCAATTTTAATGAAAAGTGGGCTTTAGCATGCTTAATGCGTTTCTAAGGATGGTGTATAGTAATGCTGCCAGGAGGGACTTCAGGGGGTAAAGTACTAGTATAGCCCTCTGGGAGTGTGCACATTTACAATGTAAGCTTCACATGCTTGCAGTGAACACAGCTAGGTTTTAATATTCAGTGCCTTTGCAATGGTGTAATTGTATTTTTAATGAAAGTTCCATGTCTTTGATTACAGGAGCATGAATACCCTATATTTAGGTTGCTTTCTTATGGCAGTAAGGATACATGATTGCATGATTTCTCTATCAATTTCTGTCCTAAGAATTTTTATGTTGCTGGGCTAAACTGAATCTTATTTAAAAGAACTAAAGGAGTTTGAAAACAAGATTTGGCTCCTATAAATTCAAAGAAAATTGGTGGCAGGACAGAGGAAATATAACCATATGTACACCTAGGGAGAACTGTCACTTAGTACTCAACAGGAATATATGTTCTGAAAGATAATGCCCAACTGACCATCCTAAAGACACATATTGGTTGTCCTGTGAGAGCACACATATACTCAAGGCAGACAAACAGGTAAGGGATATAGAAGTGTGTGGGGTTATTGGGGATGTGGAAAGAACTGGGTATTTGAGCAAGATGAAGAGACAGCCTTATGCAAGGGGAAGGACCATGCAGAAGAACTGGGGTTGGTGTGTGTCGTGGTTTAACCCCAGCCAGCAACCAAGTGCCACATGGCCCCTTGCTCACTCCCCCACCAGCAGAATCAGAGAGACAACTGGAAGAGTAAAAGCTGAAAAACTGTGTTCAGAACAAATCCAAAATGCAGCCATGTAGCCACTGAGAAGAAGGTTAACTCTACCCCAGCCAGAACCAGCACAGTGTCGTAGAAGACTATAGACAGTAATCAGTGAAAATCCAGACTACCTTAATTCTGCAGACTGAAAGCGTATTATTTAGTACAAATCCAAGTGACAGTCATGTCACAGTAGTATACTTTGTAATCTACATGAGCACTTTAGGGTTAGAAGTGAGCTTTTAAAACAAATCTATTTCTAGTCACTTACTGCACTCTGATTGTGTCATGAAGCAGTCTCAGAATAAACAAACAAAGTAGTATTCCTTTTGGATTAAACTAGGTGGCAAGATAATTTCAGGAGTGCACCTAATGCTCTCCAGCAACCAGTGTGTGTTCCAGTCCATAGGATCAGAATAGAACTAGTCCAAAACAGAGTCCCTTGTAATGCATATGTGGACATTGGTTCCCTGCCATTAATGAACAGATCCACTCCTAATTTAGACATCTTTGAAACTGTCAGAGTCACAAGAGTTTGTGTTCAGAACTGATAATTTTATGCTAATCCATTACTTAGGTGGCCAATGATTTACTACCATAGTATCTCAGAGCTTAATAATTCAAAGCATATTTACCCTTGCATGTGCCCCACTTCACAGGTAACATTTATTTTCCATGTATTAGGGAAAAACCCTAGGCCACATGTGAAGTCTAAGGCAGAACCAGGACTTGAAACTTGTTTCCCAAAGCGTAGCGTATGTGAAAAAATATTATCCTTCCATCTTATTAAACAGCTTTTCACTGGCCATGTTT